TTGGGAGCCAGGCCGACCCACTGGGGACCCACATTGGCCCTTTTGTGGGGAAAAAGTCATTCCAGCCAATCAGAATGAGTTTTTCCCCATAAAAGGGCTTTATTACATTTACGTCATTTAGCAGACGCTCTTATCCAGAGCGACTTACAGTTAGTGAATACATATTTTTTTTATACTGGCCCCCCGTGGGAATCGAACCCACAACCCTGGCGTTGCAAACGCCATGCTCTATCAAATGAGCTACATCCCTGCCGGCCATTCCCTCCCCTACCCTGGGCCAATTGTGCGCCGCCCATGAGTCTCCCGGTCGCGGCCGGCGGCGACAGAGCCTGGATTCGAACCAGGATCTCTAGTGGCACAGTTAGCACTGCGATGCAGTGCCTTAGACCACTGCGCCACTCAGGAGTACCTTCTATTACAGACAGCAATTACAGCCCCCTCCAGAACTGGAGTGTTGACTCTGTAAACATGCCCCCCTTTACCTCTTCCAGGTATTTCCACAGCTCACACAGGGCACTTATTGCCCTGCCATGTTGACCCGCCGGTTGGACAGTGACCTCAGAGACAATCTTTCATGCGAGGAAGCTATATTTCTGAAGTACTGTGGCAGCATCTTCTTGGGATCTTGCTGCTCCACGGCTGTACTCTCTTATTAGCTGAAGTACAAAATACTCTGCTTCCCTCATCAGTGGCTCCATCCTTGTTGAGCCAAGTGCCAGAGACACACTTGGGTCCATCAGGCAAGCTGCTGCAGTGGTTGGATCGAAGTTGGCTGCCAGAGGATTCAGTATGCATGCAAAGCGCTCGGGCAGTGACTTCCGGAGGACCTGTGCCAACTGTTTTGCAACAAGTAGTTGACTGCAAGTGTGGCTGAAGGTTGAGAAGGCACAACACTACCTCAGACAGCGACTGGCTGTCAGTTTAAAGTTGGGCCGTGTGGATTGCGAACGGCTCCAGCAACTTCACCAGCTGCTATAGCTTGGCCCAGTCACTGGTCAGCAAGTTGGTCAGTGTTGATCGTAAATGGCTCCAGCAACTGCAGAAGCTGTTTTAGCTTGAACCAGTCACACTTCGTGCTCACCTTCAGATTTTTTCCCTGTTAGCTAGTTATAGCTAGTGATAGTGATGCACAAGCTAGGCCTATTTGAAGCAGCCTTTATCTGCCAGATTCAGAAGTTCGGAAACCTCATTAGAAATAAAAGCTTGAAAACCCCATTCAATTTTTGCCCAAAGTTTAGAAGAAAAAAATAAAACTAAATATACATCATTTTATTTTAGTTAGTTTTGCATTCAAAGATAATACTTTGAGTATAGTTTTAGTTTTTAAATGTGTTTATTTTAAATGTTTCTATTTCAGTTTACAACATTTTTTCCTCCAAATGTAGTTTAGTTTCAGTTTTTGTTGCTGGATAATAACCTTGCTGGAGACAGACCAACACGAGACCGACCAGTTATTGGAGTCTGACAACCACAAAACCAACCAGTCACTGGAGACTGACCACCATGAGACCAACCAGTCACTGCAGACCAGTAAGTAGGTCACTTAGTAATTGGGATGGTTTGAGTGTGAGGCATTGACTCATCTGCTTCTTGCTGTTTTCATTTTTCCAAGAAGGTGAATGAAGAGGCCGTGGAGACAGGACCAAAGAAAACAGGACATGGGGAAAAAAGCAAAGAAGGTGAGGGGCTGTATTTTATGCTGATCAGCTGTCTGGGTAATAAGTCCAATTGAAATCTAACAGACGGGCAGAGATGGGCAAAAGATACATCAAAATGTATATTTTTACAATACAAGATCTCTAAAGATCAACATATCAAACTAAAATACAGATAAAATATAAATACATACAGGTATATTGTATTTTCAAAATACAAAATACATTTGCAAGTACACGCCTTCACTACAACACCATTCTCAAGTGTTTTTTTTTTTTTTTTACCTTAGCTGAATGTACTGACTGTTAGTCGCTCTGGATAAGAGTGTCTGCTAAATGACCAAAATGTAAATGTAAAATTGATCAATTGCAAAGCACACTGGGTATTATTATTGGTCTTCTTTCGGGGCGGAGCTTATTATAATAATACCCAGCATGCTTGGCAAGTGTTATTTTTTACATTTACATTTACATTGTGGTCATTTAGCAGACACTCTAATCACACCATAGTGCCATCAGATGTCTGATACCAATGCAGGGTGAAAGGAGGCCCAAAAATTATGAAACACTATAAAAAATATTTTGCATTTTACCACACAAAAAATTACAGGTCTCAAAAGTATCTTGTTAAAAAATACATTGGATTGTAGTTCAGTCCAGTGAAATGCAAATTATAAAATACTCAAAAGTAATTGAAATATTCAACTAACAGAAATACTGCCCATCTCTGCACACTGTCAGCATTTACATTGTTTGGCTTGTTTTATTCACAGAAATCCTGCAAGAGCAAAGTGTCTCACCGAGGAAAATGTTAGTCCTATTATTTCTGTAAAAATGTCCATCTATGTTCAAAATGAGACAATTTCCCCTAAACACCTGCTATTGAAATGAGAGTGTGATAAGGTGATCTGATGTCATATCCTGTTCTCTATAATATTTTGAGGTGCAGTGGCTGCAGATGAGCCAAGGAAGAAGCCAGCTCTCCTCCAGTACATCTCCAAATCCTTCGCCAGGGTCTTTTGCTTCTCCTGCAAGAAAACGAGTTGATTTGTTCCCTCTAATGGAGTTAGGCAGCACTTCAACTCCTGTTGCTAGCAGTAGGGGGAGCCAGTCCCTCTGTTTACAGCTCTTTTTAAAAAAGACGGGAGAAAACCAATAAACAGGGAATCCTTGTTTAACTTATTCTAGTGTAAATCCAGTCAATATGTGTGTTGTGTTGCTGTGAGCCTGTGAAGGCAAACTGTGAATGACAGACAGGCAGGCTGGATGTTGGTGTGACAGCAGGGGAAGAAGGCTCAGCTCTCTGACACATGGAACACAGCCTCAGCCTCCTGGCTCTGTTGCCTTGACAACCCCATCCAGCAGCAAAACAGAGGGGGTTATGTATGAAACCCCGCTATGCCAATGTAAATATAGACTACCATCGGTTTTTGAAACTAATTTGATAGTGAATAGAGATGTGATGTATGGATGTACGCCACATCCAATTTGCCTACCACCCTGCCTTGAAACCTCCAATAGCATCAAACATCCTTAGTCCCACCCTATTCCCCACAGGGCATGTGGAGGTGAGGATGAAGATGGATCATGGTCTTTGCTGTTGTATAAGCCCCTGGACAACCTCAGAGTAGTAATCAGTCATCACAGGGCAATACAGTGAAGAATTCCCTCACAGGCTTACACAAGGTGTTCCAACCTGCATAGGCAGCTAGTCCAGAGGGACAGGGTTGGGGGTGGGTGGGTGAGTGAGTGAGTGAGTGAGTAAATGAGTCTGTCTGTCTGTCTGTCTGTCTGTAAAATAGGGCAGGGTGTAAACCTATGTTTGTTTTGATAGCCAGGAACCACACACTGGTACTCTTTAGGGTTCTTTAATGAACAACTGTAGGATGTGGTTCAACAAGGAATAGAAAAGGAACATTATAGGACACAATCAAATGTGATTATTACTAGAAGATGCATTCAGTAAAAAAGCTTAATCAGATAAGGTTACTACAGTATGCAATGAAAAACGTAAGGAAATAAGGTTTCACACAGATGTGAATACAATACTGACTTAAAATGATACGCTGTATTTAATAGGCTACATCTAACTAGAAGGATAATATAGTATAGGAGAACATGAATTACAACAGCAGAATACAGCTCTATACAATACAGTTCTAGTGTGCTAACATTGACAGTAAACTATAAAGTAGCCCGCAAGGACACCTGACCACTGCAAGGTGCAAAAACTGAGTACTGACCATAAAATGGTGGACAGAGCGAGGAAGCGCAAAGTCGTCAGGAGAAGCACTGAGACGGTTCAGATAAAGTCAGGGCCGTCACAATGCGCTGCACTGCGCTGCACTTGATATTAGAAAGGGAAAATAAGGTCACAAACGGACATTTTAGGGTTATGGTGTCTGTCTCGTGTAGCATAGTCATGGGACATGACAGATAAATAACTTTATTAAGAATGAGATAATATTGAGGAAACCACTTCTGTTCTCAGTAGAGCACCACACACTCCATGTGTGTGAAGGGAGATATGAGAGGGAGGAAATGGCTGGCCCTGTCCATGTCAGCAAGAGGAAAATGCTGACTCATTCGAAATACACATTATTTTATCAATATTCTCTGAAGGGTCAAATGAGGTACTGTCAATTGTTAAAGATTTATTTGGAGTGGATAAGTAAGCCAAACAACTCAACAACAGTAATGTTACTTATTTTACTGTAACCAAATGAGGACAGAGACGCCATTTTGCTGACCATTATTTTGCTTCTGCTCTGTGTACTGTGTATCTGACAGACCCCGCCCATGACCTTTTCTGTACTATGTACTGTGTATCTGACAGACCCCGCCCATTACCTTTTCTGCCCTGTGTAGTGGTTATGATTATGTAGGCTACAAGAAGCACCATTTAGCCAGTTTCAATCTTGGGTTTTGTTGACAGAGAAGATAGAAACAAACACAGTCAAGACTAGATTCTGGTGGAGAAGGTGAGTGAGATGTTTTATGGTAACTAATTTGTTTCATTTTGATGTAAGGACTTATTACATCATATTACAGTATTGATCATGTTTACAAGTTTCCAAATATTATTTTATAGTACATATTAAGACATATTGGTCCAACAGAGTGACAGTTCACTCCAATGTAAAAGTTATTCAGATATCTTCGGACATTTTTAGAACTAATGTTTTCAGATCTAGTGGTTTAACTATTTTTGGGAGTCCTAAAACGTTAAACCTATTGCCAACCACAAGAAACAAGCTACAGATATCAATCCAGATGCATTTTTTATATTTATTTTTACTAAAGGTGCAATTGTTGAGATAATCTTTGTTTTGTCATAGGTTGGCCATGGTTGGAAGGGGCTTCCTGGGTTGTTTCATCCTGTTTCTGTCTCTGGCCTCAGTGTGCGCTATCAAAGGAACAGTTAATTTAATAAAGGATATCGGGGACATAGAGTTTGGTCACACCTCTCCTCGACATGGCCTGATGCTGCTACACTGGCTAGCCAACAAGATGAACATTGACGACAACGGCAACATGAGATTGAATTTCGATCCAACCTGTAGAGATTTAAGGCATTAATTTCTATGGAAACGCTGATAATCCCCGTCTGTTACCTTTTCTGCCCCGTCAAAGCGGAAGTTACTGCTCACTAGGGAATCTTGGTCACAATAACAACTACAATCACGCTAAGGCACTTCCTAAGTATGTCACTCGAAGGTTCTACAACCCATCTGTGTGAAGTGTAAATGATAATCTGTTCCCGGCTTCACTTGTCCTCATGACAAATCATTCAGTACATAATTTTTTTTTCTTCTCTTTATTATTCATCATGGGCTGGATATCTTTGTAAGGGAAGGGGGATACCTAGTCAGTTGCTCAACTGAATGCAATGTGTCTTCTGAATCCACGTCATCAGCACCCAGGGAGCAGTTGTTGTTGGGGGTTAATTGCCTTGCTCAAGGGCAGAACGGTAGATTTTTACAATTTGGCGGCTCAGGGATTTGAACCAGCAACCTTACAGGGTTACTGATCCAACACTCTTAACCTCTAGGCTACCTGCTGCATTTCTGTGGTGTTGACTGTAATGGTTGGTTCTATTTGTTGGTGTTAATTTTTGTGTTTTGTGACAATTCAATAAAAATGTAATCACAAAAAAATTCAAACAAAAATATACAATAAAAACCTAAGAAAAACTAACTAAATGGTTGAGTTTTACTAATCCCAGGATCCACTCAAGATATGCTCCTGGAAGATGAGTGCCAGGGTGAAAATCTGACTGGGATTATGCTGGAGTTGGACAGTGGTGATTTTGGACAAATCTCATAACAACAGTTAGTCACTTAAGTCAGTTTACAGTGGTTTCCATACCTATTCACACTATGGACTGCAAATGGAATTTGCCATGACCCACTAACCAGTTCTGACCCACCATTTAGGAAAGTTAAACACCTAATGTAAGGTTAGGTAAGCCCAGAGGGGTGGGGAACCCCATCACCATGAACCACAGTGTGATGTAGCAACTGATTTAGACCGGGGAATCCTAATGACTTTACTCTCAGACCTAAGGATCAGGTACAAATAGTGCCAGTCAAAGGGAGAAGAGAAAATCAGCAGACATTGTGGCTCCCAGGAACCCATGTTGCATACCTCTGGTCCAGCCACAGCTGTGTGATGTACTTCCCCCTTTACAAAGTACTACACTGCACAAAAATATAAACGAAACATCCAAAATTTTAAAAGATTTTACTGAGTTACAGTTCATATAAGGAAATCAGTCAATTGAAATAAATGCATTAGGCCCTAAACTATGGATTCCACATGACTGGGATTACAGATCACAGATACCTTTAAAAAAAGAAGTAGGGGCGTGGATCAGAAAACCAGTCAGTATCGGTGTGACCACCATTTGCAACATCTCCTTCACATAGAGTTGATCAGGCTGTTGATTGTGGTCTGTGGAATGTTGTCCCACTCCTCTTCAATGGCTGTGTGAAGTTGCTGGATATTGGCGGAAACTGGAACACACAGTCGTACATGTCGACAAAGAGCATCCCAAACATGCTCAATGGGTGACACGTCTGGTAAGCATGCAGGCTATGGAAGAACTTGGAAATGTTCAAGCTCCTCCATGTTGGCTATGTGAGTTAAATATATACTGAACTAAAATATAAACACAACATGTAAAGTGTTGGTCCCATGTCTCATGAGCTAAAATATAAGATCCCATACATTTTCCATATTCACAAAAAGCATATTTTTCTCAAATGTTGTGCACACATTTCTTTACATCCCTGCTAGTGAGCATTTCTCCTTTGCCAAGATAATCCATCCACCTGACAGGTGTGGCATATCAAGAAGCTGATGAAACAGCTTAAGCATTACACAGGTGCACCTTGTGCTGGGGACAATAAAAGGCCACTCTAAAATGTGCAGTTTTGTCACACAACACAATGCCACAGATGTCTCAAGTTTTGAGGGAGCGTGAAATTTGCATGCTGACTGCAGGAATGTCCACCAGAGCTTTTGCCAGTGGATGGAATGTTAATTTCTCTACCACAAGCCGCCTCCAACATTGTTTTATAGAATTTGGCAGTACGTCCGTCCGGACTAAAAACCGCAGACTACGTGTAACCACGCCAGCCCAGGACCTCTACATCCGGCTTCTTGACCTGTGTGATCTTCTGAGACCAGCCACCCGGACAGCTGATAAAACTGTATTTCTGTCTGTAATAAAGCCCTTTTGTCGGGAAAAACTTAATCTGATTGGCTGGGCTTGGCTCCCCAGTGGGTGGGCCTGGTTGCAAAGTGGGTAGGCCTATGCCCTCCCAGGCTCACCCCTGGCTGCGCCCCTGCCCAGTGATGTGAAATCCAGAGATAGCGCCCAATTTATTTATTTAAATTGACTGATTCCTTATCTGAACTGTAACTCAGTAAAATCTTGAAATTGTTGCATTTATATTTTTGATCAGTCATTGCAAACATTCTGAGTTAGCCTGCAGTGTGGTTCTTTTATCTGCAATTGCCTGAATTAGAGCATAATTCATCGTGCTGGCTAGAGTGCCTTCATTGTTTCAATCAGCAACAGTACATTGAGTAGAGTATAGAGCAGGGTTCCCCAAATGGCGTCCAAATTTGGCCCACAGGTGGTTTTATTTAGTCCCCCAAGTTTTCTGAGCCAAAAAATATTATTAATTTTTTATTGTTGGACATCAAAGACTTTAAAAACACCAGAAGATCAGCTCCAAATGAATTTAATTCAAGAAATCTGTTTTCCAAGTATCTCCACGCATCATAGAGAGACCCATGTGATCGTATCCAAATGTCAGCGGGGTTTGAAATAATTATGTTTTAGTCAAACATTATATCTGATTGGGCTTCTTGCGGTCAATTTGCAATCTACAAATTATTAGAAATTACTTTCCGGCCTCACCACCATCCGCTCAAGATAAATACATTTGGCCATTTGGTGATCCCTGGTATAGAGAATACACATGTTGTATTCCATTGTTTTAATCCTTTGAACCAGAGAGCCCCTTATCATGTACACGTTAAAACAACCCACAGCAAAACAATGTCTTTATTTTTTTCCTTAATTAACCATTTAAGGATCGGAGCCTTTTTTCCAATTTTTGCCTAAAATGACATACCCAAATCTAACTGCCTGTAGCTCAGGACCTGAAGCAAGGATATGCATATTCTTGATATCATTTGAAAGGAAACACTTTGAATTTGTGGAAATGTGAAATTCATGCAAGGGAATATAACACATTATATCTGGTAAAAGATAATACAATCAAATAAACATCTCTTTAAAAAAATACAACAGCAAAGTTTCAGACTGATCCAGCGAAGAATTACATACATCACTACATAATATTTTGTGTCAAGTCTACCAGGAGTTTTCCCAAATGTGCCGAATTAGTTTTCAAGTACATAACTATAGAAAACATACACAAATGCTATGGTAATATAAAAATGTACGTTTGCACACTCCCAGGAATGTCATTATTGATGGATCATTAGCTTCCCTACAGAAAAGACACTAACATTCACACATCTAGATGGTCGGGCGGGGTGGGTGTGGTGTCAGAGGTCAAACTGTAGAACCCAGTTCCTACATTTTAATATACAATTTTATTTTTCAAACAAAACTACACTATATTTTATCTCTGGGACCCTCCGGATGATAAATCAGAGCAAGATTACTGAATGTAAGCACATTATTTATCTTCAGAGGTGAATGTACCAAACCAGTTGCCGTGATGAAAGTGTTTTGTTGTTGTGCACTATCCTCAAACAATTGAATGGTATTTTTTAGCTGTAATAGCTACTGTAAATTGGACACTGCAGTTAGATTAACAAGAGTTTAAGCTTTCTGCCCATATAAGACATGTCTATGTCCTGGAATGTTGGCTGTTGTTTACAACACCATTCTAGTCACATATTGCATATTGAGCAACAACCGTCCCGTATAAGGGACACCGATCCCGTAGAGGATAACATCTATTGGAATGAAAGTAGGCAACTCAGTATGTACACTCTTAGAAAAAAAGGTGCTATTTAGAACGTAAAAGGGTTCTTCAGCTGTGCCCGTAGGAGAAACCTTTGAAGAACCCATTTAGGTTCCAGGTAGAAATCTAATGGTTCCAGGCAGAACCCTTTAGTGGTCCATTTAGAACCCTTTCCACAGAGGGTTCTACATGAATCTCAAAAGGGTTCTACCTGGAACCAAAAATGTTTCAACCTAGAACAGTAGAGGCTTGTGGGAGGAGCTATAGGAGGACAGACTCATTGTAATGGCTGGAATGGAATTAATAGAACGGTATCAAACATATGGAAAAAAACATGTTAGACTCCATTCCAACTATACCATTCCAGCCATTGCAATGAGGCCATCCTCCTATAGCTCTTCCCACCAGCCTCCACTGACCTAGAACCAAAATGTGTTCTCACATGGGTACAGCTGAAGAACCCTTTTGGAACCCTTTGTTCTAAGAGTGTACTATGGAGTTGGTATGTATTCATATTCATGCTTTTGGACTTAAGATTGGCAACAGTTTTGAATGACTTTGGTGAAGGCAAAGATAAGATTGCAACACTTACACAGGAAAACCTATTTCGCTGTGGTTGTTCTTGTTGACTACTTCAAAACCAACACCGTTGATTAACACGTTGAGATGTCAAACTGTCAAACATTTTCCTTATTCTGTTAATCAGTCTGAAATCTACTATAGGCATATTTCATTTTAATAATGGTGATTGACATTAAAACCTATTTTATGAGGAAGCCATACTTAACTGACATGTTTAAATAGCATGTAGCAATCAAACATTCATAATAATGGTTCTCATCAACAGGCCCTTGGTCAACCATGATAACATTTGATAAAATAATGTCACATATTCCTTCAGGACCACATTATATGAAGAGGTATTGTGATGCGTGATTTGAAGGAGTCAGGCGCAGGAGGGTAAATCACAGTATACAGAGTTTATTCCGTAATACAGCGTAAACCAGTCCAGTGCGCAAAACAGGCACACTGGAACAAACAGGCACACAGGGGAAATACAGTGAGCTCAACCAAGCTACTAATCCTCAAAATAAACAATCACCCACAAAGACAAGGGGGCAGAGGGAACACTTATACATGTACTAATGAGGGGATATGAACCAGGTGTGTGTAATAGACAAGACAAAACAAATGGAATGATGAGATGAGGAGCGGCAGTGGCTAGAAG